CCCTCTCTTCTTTTGCTACAGCAAGAAATCACAAACTTATTGTTTGTACATTTTGTCTGGGGAAAGCAACCAGGAGTCATCTTGTGCCACCTTCGGAGGGACTGAAAGACTTTCAATACCATTTAAAAAGGAAAAAAAAAACCCAGCTGTTATTCTGGATGAAAGAGATTATCAGACTTGACTTAACCTTCCATTGCACATTTTCTATGCTAGTTACTGTTGGAAGTTGCAAAAGTTGTGCTGTTCGGAAGGGAAAGACCTGCCTTTTTTTCCACCCTTCCATCTTTTCGAGAGACCACTGTTTTCAAAATTTGCATACCGCATTTGCCAATATGCACTCATGGATACTTTTTTTTTTTTTTTTTTCCCCCCCTTCCCCTCTCTTATGTCGACATTCTCACTCGGAAAGCCGCCGAAGAGACACGACACAAACGGGGCAGGCCTCGCTGCTGTGACCAATGTATACCGAAAATTTACATTTTACTGCTGGATGGACAAGATGACCTATTTTTGCCTCGTTTCTAAGTATAAATAATCCAGGATGTTCATCAACTGACTATGTTTGGATGTTAGGTGGATGCAGGGGGGGGGGACAAAGGATACTGAAGAATGGAAGAGTGGCGCACTGGTTTCTTTTCATTCAAACTTTTTTTTTTTTTTTTTTTTGCCAGCTAGGGATGAAGGACGTCTTTCCTGTCGTCAAAAAGTGACAGAATAAATGTACAGCAAAAGTCATAGTTTACTGTTTCACATTCCTTTCTCTTGGTATATAAAAACAAAAACAACAAAAAAAATGGTGCCTTCTGCGTTCACCTTCTTCGCTCTTACTGAAACGTTGCCATTTTTGGACTTTGGTCAGATTGAAGTTAGTGCTTGTGGCCCACTTCCATATTTAAGATGCGACTTTTTGTAAATATTCTTTGCTTTTCAGTTTTGAGGGGCCCACCTTAAAATAAAACAAAGGTACAATTATATATTTCATGTTTTTAACATAGCCCAGACACCGTAGTTTCATTTTGATGTATTGGAATCTGCAAAATCAAAAATAAAAACAATTGAAGATGTGCAGTGTATTAGCATAAAACTGTGTAAAACCTGTAAAGGCAATCAATGTAGGCGATTATGACCAGTCCAAAAAAAAAAAAAAAAAAAATCACATTACCCAAGTATAAATGTTGACTAAAATAAAGTAAAACTACTCTCCATTGGGACTGAGTCATTGTTACCGAGTATTATTTTGTTTGCGTATACTTGGTGCATTGAATGTCATGATTTTGGATGATTGGAGTGCTCATATTGAAGATGTTCCTGTTTCGTTTCCATGCTTTATGGTTATGTTTATCTCCCCCCCCCCTCCCCCAATGGCTGTCACTGGTACTACTCTGGTGTGGCAAAATACAAAAAGATCAACTTTTGATATGTTTCCTGGAGGTTGGTCTCACTATATATTTTTTGCTCTCAGGTTTTCATGTTTCTCAAAATACAATTTTGTAGACCACCAACACCCGAGATTACTTTTCCAGCCGCGTTTCTATTTTTCATCACCTCGCTTACTCATTGTGCTTATTTTTCATTCATTTGCCCTCCAGGAGTAATTTTTTTCCAGTTTGGTAGTTTCAGCTGCAGAGGAAAATTCATTATTTTGTTTTTATAATCTTGCACTGGAAAAGGGGGAACGTGATGTAGCAACAAAATATGGTAATAAGGTCTTCCTTGTTTGGTGGGTATCGCACTGTTTTGTTTGATTTTTTTTTTCTCTCTTTCGGAAGGGCAACATTTCCAGAGACAATCTGTTGTTTTGAACGCGGCCTCCAAAATTCACCTGAATCGGCGCAACCTATTTTCAGAAAATATGTTTTGTTCAATGCTTTAGTTTGTTGTGTGGGTGTGGCAGTGAAGATCTCAAGCAGACAAAGCTGTAAATTATTATTTGCCTCTCTGGTTGCAAGTAGACTGGATAGTCACAGTGAATCATGCCAGTCCTTATTGAATGGAAATAGATTGTGTGCTTCAAAACATGATAGCCATCTTTTACTGTGTTAACTTAGCCTTGTTGCTCCAATACATTTTTTTGGTTAGTTTCTTTTTGAGTTGACTTTCCTTTCCATTTTGAATGTGTCAGCTATAATAAACTACTGATGATATCAGCACCACTCATAACATCGCTCATGTGTTGTGCAGCTTTCCTATTATGGCCTTTTATATTATCTTTACAGTGGATCACTCAAAGTAGTAAATTTGGAGTTTAGCATTGTCTTGTGGAGAAACATCTGAAAAATAATTACACAAATCTCATCAGCAGGTTGGATTTTACTTTTATTTCAGAGTGATACTGTCACCTAGTAACTCTTGAAGGTGTTACTGGTGCTGGGATTGCAGCCAGATACCTGCGTCTCAAGTTTCATTTTTGTTTCTATGGTTATCATCACATCCGGTGAGAACAGCATATTGTAGGGCAAACATTTACACTCACATTCATACCAGTAAATCAGGAAAAACTTGCCTCAAGATTACACACTAAAATTACTCACACACAAAGCAAGTATTAAATAATTCTATAGTCATTACATAAAAAGAAATACATGACATTATAGTTCATGTTTTAATCATTTACTATTAAACAATTCTAGATAGAAGTCCCTCCTGGTTGCGGATGACACAGATGCTGATCCACTTCAATTTTACGTTAGCGTTTAATTGCGAAAAACAATTTGACCACTTTGAACACGAAATATCTAGTCCTTTTAGGGTAATCAATTAAATATAGGTTGAACAGAATTTGCAAATCTTGCTGTTCTGTTTTTATTTATCTTTAACACAACGTCCTACATTCGTTGGAATCGGGTATATACAGTACTGTACTTATAGTCTTCACAATTAAAGGGTTTGTTTATATTTGCTTTATTTTGGCCCAAAATGTCCTCCGTACATTTTCACTGATAGTGTTTGTTGTCCTGGCCCTTTAAATGTGTCAACGATGGGCCACGTATCGCCACGTCCTCGCGCATGCGCGATCTCCTTCTCCCGCGAGGAGTTCCGGGGTCGCACTATCAACCTAACAAAATAATTCAAATAACAACAACAACACACCATCGCGTCCACTTTCCTCCAAAATTTCCCCCCCTCACCCGAATCACAGAGAGAAGACTCCGAGTGTCGTCGTTGGAGGGGTCGCAAAGGGGACGTCTGCAAAGATGAACTTCTTCAGGGGAGTGATGGGCGGGCAGACAGCCGGGCCGCAGCCCACTGGAGCGGAGACGGTATGAAGCTAACTCCGGCTGGCTGCGATTAGTTTAGCATTTGCTTACACGTAATTCGTTTTTCAAAGTGCGTTTAACCTCCACTTTAAAGCTGAGCCTTTTACAATACCATATACGTGGCGTCGTCCATTTAATGAAGTAATTAGCCTCATCTAATCAGGTTTGCTACCGTCGATGCTAAAGTAGCTAACCTGTCATTTTCTGCGTATGCTACTTGCTGTTTTATAGTATATCCTTTGATTGTGTTTTAATAATTGAAATGGTGGTTAATCCAGTCAAGATGTTGCAAATTGATTGATCAAGATATTTTACATGCTTTGAATCGTATCTAACATCTCCCATGTATTAAATATTAATATAAATAAATTCATATAAAGTCAATATCATCAATTGAGTGTTATTAATTTCCTTAATAAGTATTTAAGTATAAACTGCAAACCTTGCTAAACAGGCACAGTGACATATTTGTCCAATCGCAAAGTTACTTCATCTACATTACTTGGTCCAAATTGATTGACCTGTGTTCTTATTTTGCCATTTAAAATGACACTAGAATTGGTGCTTCTCAGTATTGGGCAGATGTTCGAGCTTGATAATATATAGCATTTCCTCCGGTGACAGATCCAGAAATTGTGCGACAGGGTTGCCTCGTCGACTCTCCTCGAAGATCGCAGGGATGCGGTCCGTGCTCTTAAGTCCCTCTCTAAGGTAAGATCTCAACTGCCTAGTCAAGGGCGCACTGACCTTTTTGAAACAGAAAGCTTCTTTTTAGGAACAACGATGTGAGTGAGGTTATATTTCCAGGCGTATATGAGGACAAATCGGCTTCTGCAATAGCTATTCATTGTCTAGTGTCTGTTAAAGCAGCCTGTTTTAAAATCATCACCATTTGTTTTGTAGAAATATCGCATGGAGGTTGGCACACAAGCAATGGATCACTTGATAAACATCCTGCAAACTGACAGGTACGTATAAATGCAGTTGACACTGATTGTCATTTAATGTTTTTTCTCTCAGGGGGAATAGAAACAATCTGTTTCACCCTCAAACTCTCGCCATCATAACGCCTTTATTCAGTTCAAGCTTGATGGTTTGGAAGACGCTCCCAAAAACACGAAAGAGTTTTCCTCCAATGCGTCCTCTCTAAAAGACTGCGTGCGTGTACAGTGCAGTCAAGATTTTATCATTGTGACGGGATTAAACTCTGAAAAGGATGATTTCTGTTACCACATAATTTCCTCCATGCGTAATTGTAAAACATTGCTGTTCACGTTTTTGCTATGAAACCCATCAGGTCTGACTCGGAAATCCTCGGCTACGCTTTGGACACGCTGTACAACATTATCTGCAATGACGAGGAGGAAGAGCAAGGTAGTGACCATGTCGCCACTGTTCGGAATTATTTATTTATTTATTTGTTTTTTTAGAAAGGTAACTTTGGTGTCGACCTCATGTGTCATGTGGACAGTCACTCAGTGTGCATTGCTCTCTTCCTGTACGCCAACAGTGTCTGTGTTTTAAATGTAAAGGTTGTCATCTCTCTCTTCTTCTCTTCCATGTCTTAACCTCACAGACGAATCAGAAGGTAAAACCTTTTCACTGTGCATGATTGCCCCTCCCCCCTCTAAGTTTTTTTCTTCTCATTACCAGACACCAACAACTGC